TGGTATCTCAAATGCATCTGGAGATCTGGGAGGCTTCTTGCTGTCTGCTGACATTCAAATAATGGAGGTCTATGGTGCCTGAAGGCAGAAAGGTCCATAAAAGTCCACAAAAAACGTGTCAATATTCCTCCATACTGCTCGTCCAATGTATTCAAAGTGTCCTGAGTGGGTAGCATCCAGAATTTACTCGAAACGAAGTCATTTAGAATGTTTTTAGAGCATAAACAGTAGTGTATAGGATTTCCTAAAAGCGCGCGCCTGCGTGTTCACGACGCTACGGAACCAGATGAAAGTGCGCATTCAGCGTCTGCTCTGCCGATAATATAAGCGTAGAAGAAGAAATGTGCTGTTTACCTGTGCAAAGAAAGAAACAACGAAAGAAAAATGTCTGAGGACTTCAGTGTTGAGGAAGAGCATGAGTTCTTTGCCGAGCTGAATGCACACTTTCGTCTGGTTTGGTCTGCCGCGGTTTCCGTAGAGTCGTGAACGCGCTTTCAGGAAATCCTATACACTACTGTTTATGCTCTAAAAACATTCTAAATGACTTCGTTTCGAGTAAATTCTGGACGCTACCCACTCAGTACACTTGGAATACATTGGACGAGCAGTATGGAGGAATATTGACACGTTTTTTGTGGACTTTTATGGACCTTTCTGTCTCGGGCGCCATAGACCTCCATTATTTGAATGTCAGCAGACAGCAAGAAGCCTCCCAGATCTCCAGATGCATTTGAGATATCAAAAAAGTACACCAGAGTGTTGTTCAGCATGGGGGTGAGTAGAAAATGAAGGCTAATCATGTTTTGGGTGTACTATTCCTTTAAGTTGTTTTCCAAAGTTTAATTTCATAATATAACATCCCCCCTACCAAAAAAAAAAAAATTATATATATATATATATATTTTAAACCTCTCTGAAAACAGTGGCTTTTGCTAAGTCAGACAGATTCATGGAAAATCCAAGTGGGGCTTGAATTTACTCCAAGTTAATCAGATATACTATATTTATGTTTGGTGTGATCTAGAAGACTGAATGCTGAATCAAGTGGTGCAATAATAAAATTACTGTTGTGTGCATATGCATGAAGGTTTTTCCAGCAATTTGTGTCATCGGTTAAGGGAAATAGTTTTAGAATTCTTGACCAGTCTTTCTTTTTTTATGTAGCCGTTATATGTTAACAAGTAAATATTTATTCCTTTTTACTGAACAGAGTTTATGCCCAGATTGTGCTTGCACATGTGTTAAACACTTAATTGCACATATATTTACATCATGTATCATTTTGGTAGGACATCACAGACCTAAAAAGAGCCATGAGTGAGGTCAATAAGACGGAAGAGCAGCACCATATGTGGACTGATGAGCAGATCCACATTCTCCTGTCTACAGTTGCAGATCTTCATCAAAGAGTGGCCTCATTGGAGAATGGGTCAAAACACAGTGTGAGTAATACCCTAATTCTATGGTGCCTTAAATATAACTTTTTTTCTCCACTGCTATATAAGTTGATCGACTCATCAGGATATCAAAATGAGTTTTTACTCAGTCTTTTAAAGAAAAATGTTTTATTTAAAATGTTTTTATTACTCAATTGGTTTTACTTAGATTTTATTTAGTAGGCTATGGTCGTCACTCAATATAAAAATAAAACATGTATGTGAAGCTTCCAAAAAGAATGTCTCATGTCAATTTCAGAAAATTAGAAGTCAACTGCTCCACACGATTGCCAAAAATATATATATTTTTTTATTTTTTGCTTTAGGGATTTTGGTTCATGAACTCTTTAAAGTTCATTTTAAACATAAACGAGTAAGATGGTAACAGCCCAATACTGAACGTTTAACTCTATACTTTGAGTCTACAGACTCCAAACACACAGTCATTTAATTACCTTCCTCCTGCCATCTATTTGCAGTATAAAGATGAAGCAGCTCCAGTGACTGTGAACAGTAAAGGGCCTGTAAATGCGGCGATGGTGACAGAGACAACACCACCTCAGGATGTGGAAGGTACTAACTAGAAAAAAGCCAATTTAATTTCAGGACTTTCTTTCACTCTGTAGCTGTTTAACATGACCATCTGATTCTTCCTCTAACAGACATGTCTGCACCTCTGACAAAGCCACAAATAAGCAGACGTCCTCGCTTCTTAACTCCAAGACGATCGAGGAGGAGTGCCGGGACTAAATGTCCGAGGATGTTGTCCCTGCCGGGTGTCACTTCTCTATCAGGTCAAAAACACTGAACCTCTCCATTCGTTATTCTCAGTTTGAGGATTTTCCTTTAATGCTTATTTTTCAACATAGATGAAAAAGTAGCTGATGGCATTACATTTTATTTTTTAGAACTTGATCTCCATGTGCAATTTGGAGATCAAAAATTTGCAATTTTTTTTTATTTTAGTGCATTTCAACTTCCATATAAAGGCACAAGAAGATCAGAGTGCAGCATTGGAAATCTTTTCCAAGGATCACACAAGCATCCTTTAATTATTTATATTAGAAGTAAAAGCTTTGTTACAGTGTGTGAGAAGGCATTCACTTTGCACCGGATGCTCTTATTAGAAATCATTGCATGAAATCATGGTTTTCAGGGTTCAATATTAGCAATGGGAACACCTAGCGCAAATGAAGCCATGTTCCCTTAGAGCGCTGGCGTCCAAAGTCGGTCCTCAAGAGTAGGGTTAACTGGTTATTAATGATTCAGGACGAACTGTCTAAACTGGGCAGAACACTGGTTGGAGTTTGAGATATCGGTCTTAAAGAGTGATCAGATAATTCCTTACTTGTAATTTTTTTTTCTCAAATTCGGACAAGATTTCCAAATTGAGCATGTTCCATGGCAGACGGGTTGAAAGATCAAAGATTAAAACAAAGCTTTTTTGCTAGTCTTTGTTCAGCCTTCTTATAATCTGCTGAAATGAAGAATATTTTTTGTCATTATGTAACCATACCATAATTTTTCTCAGAAAGTTTTGCTCTCTCGTGCTCTTCTGAAGCCCAAATCAGTCAGACCTGTTGGAAATTGCAATAGTAGATACTGAATATTTTCAGATTTTTTTGGTCTCCAAGTTCCCTCTGACTTTTTAAAAATCAGACTATTAAATGGTAAATGGCCTGTACTTATATAGCGCCTTTTTTCTAGTCAGGAGACTTGACCAAAGCACTTTACACTACATTCATTCACCCATTCACGCACACACTCACACACTGATGGTGGCAAGCTACATTGTAGCCACAGTTGCCCTGGGGCTCACTGACAGAAGCGGGGCTGCCGTACACTGGCGCCACCGGGCCCTCTGACCACCATCAGTAGACAATGCAGGTGAAGTGTCTTGCCCAAGGACACAACGACAATGAAAGTCAGAGCTGGGGTTTGAACCGTCAACCCTTCGATTTCAGGGCAAACTTCAACATCCAACGCCACTTAAAGTGGATGGCAAACTTTTTAACATATTTCAGGTTTTTGTGGCAGATGTGTACCTTCTCTAAGCAATTCTGCAGTTTTAGCAGAGTAATAATAAACACTTAAATGTCAACTTTAATTGAATATTTTTCTGAATGCAGACCTTGAGAACCTCTACTGGAGAGCAGGAGTGGAGCGCAACCACCTCGGACTAACTTACCAAGACCTAAAGAATCAGTTTGGGGCAGCGACTCCCAGTGAACATGCTATGGCGTGCTTTGATGATGGAGACCGCAGGTACAGACTGGTGGAGCTGAGAGCTGCTGTGGGTTTGTGAGCTCCATGTCACTGACCGCAGTGAACAGTATGGAGCACCCAGCAGGGTCTGGGAGGGTTTGGGGATTTCGGACTTTTATCTGTAGTTGCTGCACCTTGGTGAACTAAGTATTTATCATTTTGACAGTGGTAAAAGAGGCACTGGTATGCCCTCTCCTCACACCTCCCCCACAAGTTCCACTTAAATATATTGTCAGCAAACAAAAATTGCTTAGATTTTAATAGTAATACGAACAAGTATTTGTATGTAAAATCTGATCCTTTTTAACAAGTTCCTAAAATTTTGTTTGTAAACATGGAATAAGTCATTTTTTCCCCATCCCACGTCTTTAACATGAAGTAACTGATTATTTTTATTTTTTTCTGTTTTTGATTCTGTGTCTCATCCTGATGTAATGAATTGTTTGTTAAACTATTTTAGGCTGTAGCTCTCAGAAATGTTCCCGTCTACATCAACACCTAGTTCAGCTCACTTAATATAATTACTGGAGAAGGACTTTTAATGAATGTTTACAAATGACTACTAGAAATGGCGTTTTAGAGGCTTTCATTGTGTTTTTGCACAGTTTCCTAACTTATCTAAGAAAAAACAATCAGATGTAAAAGCAGTCAAAACTTTTTCTATGCTCTTTTCTAAGCTAAAACTAAAGTTTAAAGCTCTGCTTGCCTTCACCTTCAGATATCCATCTGTGATCAGTCGATCTGTGCATTTAGCTGTAGTTTTGGTTTTTTGCTTTTCTAGTTTCCTGATGTTTTGCAAATTTGAAGGGCTACAAACTCCTTGCTAGAATTTTTATGGTTATTGAGGCACATGTAGCAATAAGTGATGTATTACAGGCGCACCGAGCTCACACTCTGTAAAAACCATCACTGTTTGCATTAATGTATATTTTATTGCATTATAAAGGTCCTACTTATGTAAGGATTCACACAAAGGCCATGTGGCCTGTTGTGCTCTGTAAAAATGTAATTTCAAACAGTTATATTCTAAAAGGGGTCACATTGTTGGAATTTAATTAGAGATCCTTCACTGCCTTTTTTTTTTCTTTATTTTTTGTTTTTCTTAAGTTTTGACCTGCTGGTTTTAAACAGATATGCTAAAGAGTATTTAATATAGGTATGGTTTAAAATCAAACTGAACATAGATGAAATAAAGGATTTCTCCAATACAGGTTAATCGCAGTAAATTGGAATGTCTGTGTAACCTATTCTAGTGATTTGAGTAAAAATCAGAAATTCATTATACACAGTGACATATTGCAAGCAGTTGTTTGTTCATTTGAATGATTATTGCAGCAAATAAAAGAAAACTCCATAAATTTTACTTTCCCTGAATGCATTTAGCATATATCATGACCCAAAAAAAACAACAAAAAATGGATTTAAAAAAAATATTCTGCCCAAACATGTCAATATGGTGTACAGTATCTGAACTCGATACATGATCAAAGTTTTGTTTGCATAATTGCTGCGCCTGCAGCATAGAAGGGATGCAATCTAAAGGAGGCATTGTTGTTCTTGGTAACTCTAATTTAGTTGTAAAACAGTATGGCCTCAAAATTACAGGGTTTTTTAAGGAAAGCTTTTGATGTCCAGCACTATTCAGATCACATTTGTGCCCTCATGGTGATGGATTTAATTCTTTAAAGTAATGTGGAGGACCAGGGTTTGCATACTAGTTGTGTAAGGTAAAACTCTTCTAGTCTGGAAGTAGGTTGTAATGACTTGCTGTGGCGACCCCTGAAAACAAATACATTTATAAAATTGTATAACTGATGCTGGCAATAATAGCGGTATTTATGAATTTAACAAATTACTGGTATTTAATCATGTACCAACAGTAATATCACCCTGGAGCTTATTGTGTCCTCAGTTAAAGGTTAACAGGATTGATACTTTTGACAGTGCAAATTCCATTGGACAATGAGGCTCTTTTTCTTTTCACTTAATTTTCCATTAATATCCTCTCATTCAGCTGTTAAAAGCCAGAGTTTTAACAGTAGATTTGTTTTTAAAAGTTCTTTTTGAGCTTATGTAGCGGAATTTTGAGTTTTCCTTATTTGTAAAGAATCTACATGAACAAGACTTGAAATGTGTCGCTGTGTATTGAAATTAGATCATTTTACTTAAATAATACCCTATTTTAGTAATTTAATTGTAAAATTGAGATTTACTAGATTATTTTTATGCATCAAAACATACTAGTTGCAACATTTGACCAAAAATTGTTTAACTTTGGATGCTTTAAGAAGAAAAAAAGGGGGGGTTCTTAGCAATTGACCCTTTATCAAATGAAAATGTATGACTTGTTTAAGTTATTTTTGTTCCCAAAAATAATTTTCTATAATGGTTTTTGCAGGACTGAGTTTGGCTTTTGTCACTGCCATATTTTTGGGTCCACGTTGCAACTGTAAATGTTTTTTTTTTTTCGTTTGAGCACCAATGAATAAAGTAAGTGAAAGGCTTGACTTTGTGTTTTTGTAATAAATTAAAGAGCCCTGGATTCTGTCACATTTTTACTGGTGTGTTGCAGGAATCAAATCTGAAATTTACAAAACATGGTGACTTTAAGTAAAACTATTTACATGTTTGGAAACAATTGTCAAATCGTGACCAAAAACATGATTTACAGTAACTTTAGGCTAGAGCTCCCTTAGCTCTCCAGTCCTGGGACAGAAGTCCCAGCAATCCCTCTTCATCCTCCTCCCCCTCCGCCTCGTTGTTTTCCTCAGTCTCCATGTTTTCATCCTTCCTGGGCTCACGTTTACTCTTCAACACATCCCTCTTGTCCCTGAGCAGTTCCACCCTTTTATAACACTCGATCTGTTCATCAATCTCGTCGATCTGTCGCTCAAGGCGCCCTTCTTCATCGTCCTCTGCCACAATGGCCTCAGACTTAGTGTTCACCTGTCGGATTTCCCTCTGAAACTCTTCCCACTCCTTGTCCATCTGATCCTTCGGGGCGTCGACGTTTCGGACCTTCGCGTCCCTGACCGGATCGTCGAAGAAACCCTCTGGCAGTGCCTCCGCGGTGTTGTCTTTCTTTTCGGCGGTCTTCTCCGCTACCTCTGCTTTAAGGATGGATCCTGAGTGGGATATAGCAGGCGTGGATGGGATGGAGCTGTCAAAGAAGTCGGCTGGCAGCTCCTCAGCTGGCTGAGCTGGGGGGTTGTGCTCATCAGTGTTTTCATCGTCGTCTTCGTCATAAACTCCGGCTAAAAGGCTCAATCCTGCAGATTTCTGTGAAGGCGCCTTTTCAGCTGGTTTCTCAAAGAAGTCTCCAGGCAACCCTGACCCAGACTGACCTGCTGCTTTGGCCTTTTTTTGAACTGCTTCCTCACTGCCCTGCATTTTCCTTTTTGTCGGCTGACTCTGTGGTACAGCTGGTTGACTCTTTGCTTCTTTCAACTCTGCAACTTTATCTTTATGCTGCTTTCCCAGAACGTGAGTTGGCCACAGCAGTTCAGATCTCACCTGCACAGAGCACAAGGAGCAGCTGAGGTGACCCAAACTGTTGTATTTAGCGAAAGGAGATTCCACGCGCTTCTTCTCGGTGTTTTGCCTTTGTTTCTCTCTCATAAGCCGCCGGAGTTCTTCTTGGTTTACTACTTTCTTTCCCTTTTTTGACGCCATTCTTGGTAACGAAGCGTGTTAGCTTAACCAGCTACTTACTTCCCAAACAGAATGTTGCCTCTTATTTTTCTGCAATAATGGTGGTTAGTCTCCACAGCGCCACCGCCTGGCAGGGAGGTTAATTCATAGATGATCCACTCTACTTATCTGCATGATTTTGTGGCGTTAGTATTGTCATTCAGGGACGGAGCTAGATGGCCCCCCATCTAGCTCGGTCCAGTAATTAACAATTACTTGACAACAATATTACTGTTGTTAATTATGCACATCAATATACCATCATTAGAGATGATTAGTACAGGATTCATGCTATTTCAGAACTAGAAAATGATGCGTCTCTGCAGGTCATCTAAGAGTCTTCAGTGAAATCATAGATACTGTAAATAACAATTTTACATTTCAATTCAATTTATGTAGATATTAGTACTTGTAAAAATCAATTAAATGTAGAATGATATTGATAAAAGTAGGTAAGTAATGACAATGAAAAAAAATGTTTGCTCCAGAACTCAAATGTCAAAGAATTTTTTATCAAATATAGCTTTTATCTAGACGGATGTTTAAATATATGCATATATTTGTTAATTTGTCTTTATTTAGGAATATGGACGTGTGAAATGTTTAGTTTTCTTTTATGTATATTTTTTTCTCAGTTCTGGATATAAAAAAGTAAATAGGACCGGAGTATAATTGTTTTTTATGGGGTTTTTTGTTCAATTTTCCAAAGAAGAGAAATGTATATCTATCTATCCATCCGTTTCCTTAATGTAGTTGCACTTTTAGATTTGTAGTTGCAGTTTGCACTTCAGGGCCACCGTACAGAGGAGATCTAACGAATTGTAAATATAGTGCATCCAACATCAATTTCTACTTACTTAAATGCTGTACTTTCACTGGCAAGATCATGGATCTGAACATTTATTCGTCAATGTTTTGCATTTTAATTTAATGAGTAAACACTTTCTAAAAAACAAAAAAGAACCACTTCTCATCTTCTTTTCACTGCCACAGACAGGTGTAAAATCAGGTTGAACTAGAACTGTTGCTCTTAAAGGAATAGTACACCCAAAACATGATTAGCCTTCATTTTCTACTCACCCCCATGCTGAACAAAACTCTGGAGTACTTTTTTGATATCTCAAATGCATCTGGAGATCTGGGAGGCTTCTTGCTGTCTGCTGACATTCAAATAATGGAGGTCTATGGCGACAGAAAGGTCCATAAAAGTCCACAAAAACGTGTCAATATTCCTCCATACTGCTCGTCCAATGTAATCCAAGTGTCCTGAGTGGGTAGCGTCCATAATTTACTCGAAACGAAGTCATTTAGAACGTTTTAGAGCCTAAACAGTAGTGTATAGGATTTCCTAATAGCGCCCCCATGCGCGCTCACGATTCTACGGAAGCCGGCAGACCAAACCAGCGCATTCAGCTCGGCAAAGAACTCATGCTCTTCCTCAACACTGAAGTCCTCAGACATTTTTCTTTCGTTGTTTCTTTCTTTGCACAGGTAAACAGCACATTTCTTCTTCTACGCTTGCATTATCGGCAGAGCTGACGCTGAATGCGCACTTTCTTCCGGTTTGGTCTGCCGGCTTCCGTAGAATCGTGAGCGCGCATGGGGGCGCTATTAGGAAATCCTATACACTACTGTTTATGCTCTAAAACGTTCTAAATGACTTCGTTTCAAGTAAATTCTGGATGCTACCCACTCAGGACACTTGGATTACATTGGACGAGCAGTATGGAGGAATATTGACACGTTTTTGTGGACTTTTGTGGACCTTTCTGTCTCGGTCACCATAGACCTCCATTATTTGAATGTCAGCAGACAGCAAGAAGCCTCCCAGATCTCCAGATGCATTTGAGATATCAAAAAAGTACTCCAGAGTTTTGTTCAGCATGGGGGTGAGTAGAAAATGAAGGCTAATCATGTTTTGGGTGTACTATTCCTTTAAAGTGGCTACAATGGAAAGCGCAATGCTTAAACTACTTCTTTCTTCAGTATTAAAAACAAAAAAGATATACTTGAGTTCCCTGAATGTCCTTAAAATAAAGTAAATTTCATCTATGACTTGCTACTGTAGTGTTTTTGTTTTCTTATCTGTTAAGCCAACATTTCATTTGAGGTCCGAAAGAATCGATTCTTTTTTTGTCGGTTCAGTTCCGAATGCTTTGGATCTTGAAACGAACCAGAAATCCCGCCGATAGCCCCCGTCTAAACCGACCTAATGTGTGATCTCGCGAGGTTTGCTGGCAGTCGCTAGCCAGAACGTTAGCTCTGTTGGTTTATTGTACCAACCTGTCCAACCATCGTTTGCTGCAAAGACTGAACAGATTTGAATTTAATACGCACCTTTAAAGACGATAGAAGACACAACGATGTAGTCGTCTGTAGGTCGTTTTGATTTCTCCCTCCGTGTTTATTTAGTGCGTGTGGTTTCTGTTATGTTTAAGGTTAATTTCTTTATTCATCGCCGCGCCCATCGTACTCATTTTTTATTTAGGGCTAGCAAGCTAACGTCTAATAGAAGCTAATGTTGGGTGTCAGTTTTTCAGCAGGTGTAGCGATATTAGAATTGTAAACAAAAATATAAAGACAGGAATAAGCCTTCGCAAGTGCTTTATTTTATTATATGGTTTGTTGACTTTTTATCTTTACCTTTCTGTAGTAGACAGTTATACAATTGGCGTACGGTAGTCATAATGACAGGTGAAAAGATACGCACCATGCGGAAGGATCATAATAAGGCGAATAAAAACGAAGCGATATTGGACGCCTATAATGAGACATCCGACGGGACGGTCCCCAATGCTAATAGTAACCGCTTCAAGTCGAACAAGGCTTTTCAGAAATCTGTCAAATCCTCGACACTGCAACAGCAGCTCAATGAGAACAACATAAACGGCAATGCATCGGTTGTGAATGATGACAACAAAAACCCGATAATCCTGACAAACGAGGAGCTGGAGTTTTCTGTTCATGAGTGTGTGTTTAAAGGGGATGTCCGTCGACTCTCATCTCTCATCAGGACCAAGAGCATCTCTCAAAAAGACGTGCATGGTTAGGTTTATGCTCTTTTTTTTTTTTTTACCTATATTTGTAATGATCTCATTGTCACAGACTATATGTGGTGCATTCAATGAAATTATGTGATCAGCAATGTATGAATCTCAGAAATTCAGTTATAAAGTTAAAACTTAAGAAAATACTGATAGAAAGAGAAATTAATGTGTATTTTGTTTGTTTTGATTACCGCTTACAGCAAATTAAAACCCAGAATAATAGGACCATGTCTCCACTGTCATTGAAACCTGCAGGAGTTTAGGCCTCTTTGACCTTATTAGTCACAGTGTCATGAATTTATATAAATAGAATACCTGAAATAAAAAAAAATAAAAAAATCATGACTAATGCTTTTATCTCTGTGGATTCAACATTTTTTAATCATTATTTTATTTACTTTGTCATTTTAGGAAACACACCTCTACATCTTGCTGTAATGTTGGGCCAAAAAGGTAAAAAAAGAAAAGCTTCCCTTTTGTTATTGGAAACCCCCACTGCAAAACCCTTGGTTTTTAACTTAAACATAATTTTTCAGAAAGTTTAAGATTAATTGTGACTATTATTGTACTATCAAATATGATTATGTGTGTTCTCCACACTGCTTTGGGACAATCACCATGATATTGCCATTTAACCCTTTATCGTCTGAGATCTGCTGAGTTGGGAAAATATTTCCTAAAAGGCCTGATAAGTGTGATATTTTTGTGGCATGAATACTAAAATTTAAAATACTATGATTTTGTGTTACATGGGGGAACTCAAACATACCTTAGCAATATAACAAAACAGAATGGTCATTGTGATATCAGTGCATTGCAAAACACTTCTTTGAAGAAAGTTTGATCAGGTTTCTTAAGTCAATTTACACTCCTTCAGAAGAATGTAAATGTAGGTTAATAAGAACGTTGTTTTTGAATTATTCCACAATAATATTGCAATTCTATGTTTTATAATAATTCATTTAAACAAGACTTAAAACTAAACAACCGATAAATGTAGAGGTTTTGGTATCACTGTGTAGAACAATATCTCATTGTGTTGCCATTTGCTTAAAAAAGTGAGATTGGGAGTAAACAGTGCTCAAGGGGGAACTTGTCAGGCACTTGCCTAGACTCATGTTTTCCTATAGGTAGTTTAAAAACCACTTAACCTTAATTCAATTCAATTTCAATTCAGTTTATTTATATAGCCCCAATTCACAACAAATGTCATCTAAACGCATTTTACAGTTCAACCAGATCATACAGTCAAATTGATCCAAAGTTTTCTATCTAAGGAAAACCAGTTGATTGCATCGACTCATTAACTTGAATGCAATCGTTCACACTAAACATGCTTGTAGTGACAGTAGAGAGGAAAAACACCCTTTTAACAGGAAGAAACCTCCATCATAACCAGGCTCAGTGTGAACGGCCATATGCCGAGGCTGACTGGGGTTCAAGGAGACAGAAGCAGAGAAACAAAAATCAGCTACAAAAGGTGGCCCTGTCCAGGAAACACACAGCCAGTCAGACGAGCTCTGAGCCAGCTTCCATGTCAGAGGATGAAGAGAGCACGTCCAGCCAGTCACAGTCAGAGAAACAGGACTACACTGGAAAACAGTTATTGGTTTGATCTATGGGGGTAACTTGATTTCAATCCTATGACTGTTTTTGTGTTTGTGCAAAGAAAAGTTTCCAGATAGCCCGATGTTTCCCTGTTTTAAGCACAGGAGAAATATTAAAACATTTTCTGGCCAGCTCATCGGCAGTGCATATCATCATGCGGCTAGGAAAGTGACTTTTTGCGAGGAGACTCTGAGACCTCTACAGCTTCTCATTAAAATGATGTAGTAGGAATGTGGGTTGCTATTTCTGCAGTAACTCTGAGCAGGATTCTGGTAGGGTAACAGTTAACAACAGGAATCTTAATGTAGTTACTGAATTTGATTGCGTTAATTGTGTTTTTAACATGTCTCTCCATTGTAGAATTAACTGCTGAGCATGAACCAAGCACAGAGTATACTGTACATCTAT